GTTCAACGTTCCTAAAGGCAACCCCTACGCTTAAACCAATGACTCCCACACCACTCACCTTGCCCTTACTCTTGTCAGCACTAGAGGATACACGAGAGGAAGATGAGGGGAGTTCCTTGGAGTCTACCTCGGTATCGACAGCCTCAACACCGAGGAAGTTGTCAATCTCATCACCTACATCCCCTAAATCAGAATCTCTCTCAGCAGACCTGTCGCCTATGAGGGAAACAGATGAGGGAGTTACTCCAAAGGAGGCAGACATGACTGACAAAGAGAAAGGCAAGTTGAAAGAATTATAAAAATGAGGAATACTAACTAAACACCCCCTAATAATCCTAGGGTCAGCACTGTACCTCCCGACAATAAGAATTAGCATAGTGGAGTTCTAATCCACAAAGCGGGAAAGAGGAGATAGGCAACGATCGCGATTCCAAAAGAAAAAGAACCGAAAAACTCAGAAAAATAATGGCCAACTCGAAGTCGAGGGATCCAGAGTGAGGAAAGGCAAGAGAAAGAAAAAGGGGCAGAAGGAAACGTACCTAGACAGGGAAGAGAGCAACAAACAGCAGCCAAAGAACAAAATTGGAGGAGAGGAATAAAGCAGGACTTCGAGTCTAACCTAGAAAGCACAATCTAGAGCAGAGAATAAGGGAATCGTATGGAGGAAAGCCCAGAAATCACAGAGAGAAAGAGTCGAAGACGAAGGTGAACAGCGTAGAAGATGAACAGTGGTTTTGTACGTTTTCTTTTAGCCGTTTTGAGCATTTAAGGCTTGAAAGACGTGGGATGAGGCATGCGCGAGAACCAAGGGAGCCATGATTGCTGCTACCGTCAAAAAGCCCCTCTTACGTGCATCTCACAATCAAGCTAAGATCAGCTAGGCGCAATCTAGTCTAAGGTAAAAGCAGCTCAGTCCATGCCCAAGCTCGCTTGGGCCAAGGGTTGGGGGAGCAACTGATGATACCTCAAAATAAATCCCAAACGCCAGCTCAGAAGGTCAGCTCAGCCCAGGAGGTCAGACTAGACAAACATAACTCAGAAAAGTAGAGCTGGAGGTCTCTTCGAGATAAGCAAAGGCAATAACAACCAAGACAACAACTGGAAGATCACGAGAGATTCCTAAAAGTGTTAGGAAGCAATAATCAACGCACCTAATCTCAACCAAGCAAGATCTTCTCCTATAATTAAAGAGAACCCCACGAAATAAGGGCAAGAATCTCGACTAAGATCCCACTGAATAGGAAACAACCCTATAAATACTATGTAATGCCCCCAAGGAACGAGAGGAACTCTAGAGGCAAAAACTAGTCATTGTACTCTTCCAATCATCATTATTGAAAGACAAGGAGTAAGAGTCTCCATTAAAGAGTGAATTAGCCAAGTTTCTAAGCTGGTGAACCACTATATTCCTACTGTGTTAATCCCCTAATTCCCCGACAATTCTCAGCATCATTCACTCGAGTCTAGTAGCTTAAATCCCAACAATTCTAATATTATTTTTTTCATTTACTCGTCATCACAAATTTGTATCACGTTGAAATACACCATCATGTTCTAATAGCATTAGCGTAATTTTTTACGTGACAATATGAGAAGCGCCGTTGAAAATCAGAAGTGAGATTGTATAAAAATAAAACGGACAAACAAAGGTTACACTAGTTGCCTAGGCAACATTGTCAATCACCAGAGTAAATTGAAAACGACTTCTTCGGACAAAATCGACCCACATTAAACACTGCCTCAATTTGCGATCAAATCTCATTGTCACTTGTTAGTCATGTAAGAATCAGCATGCCACTACCTTGTAACAGTAGTAGTACAGGGTGTTTTCCCAATTTCCTTGTCGGTCCACGTATCTCCCTTATTTTCACATTCAATCTTCTCTCTTCCGAGAGACACTAATAATTTTGTCGACTCTAATGTTTTGTTTGGTACGAAAGATGAAAAATAAAAAAAAATACACTTTCTATCTTCCGAGAAAAAAAAATAGAAATGATATATTTTTCTTCATTTATGTTTGATAGGATAGATAAAAAATAAAAATAATTAATTTTTTTGTGTGTGTTTGGTAGGATAGTCGAAGCCATTGATAACCGGAGAATATAAAGGGGATTTAGAATGTGTGAAACTGTGAGAATTTCTTCTATCAGAGACAGAAGAATCTTCTCCATCACGTGAATTGTAGGTCGCTTGCTCTTCATCGTCGTTTTCATGAACATCAAGAGCAATTTTATTCAATTTTTCTTTCAAAATAGCCATCGTTTGATCTCAAACCAAACTCTTTTCCACTGACAAAAATTTAACACGAGAAAATTTATTAGCCCTAACACAAAGGAAAAAAGGAAAATTGTCCGACTCGATTTTTTACATTTTGTTCTGATTTGATTTTGTCGTGGCAGTCACACAATAGGAGTCAAAAACGTAAACGTCGGTGACACGGCGACAAAAGTACGTGTGCCGTCGCAATGAATGTGGATGGGTTTTCGCCATTTAATTCTTGAATAATGCTATATTCACCTTTAATTACTGTAAAATCAAAGTGAGTTGGTATTAAAATATAGTTGTTTCAATTGTAATTTGACTAATAGTATCATAACTCAATCTTTTTAAGTCATAATTTACTCCCAGACAGTGGCGGAGCTATGCTATTGCCCAAGGGGGCCATGACCCCTCAACTTTTTGAAATTAAATATTATACCCTTAACATTATGTTTTGATCATATTTTATATATTATCTTTCGAATTCTTAAAATTATAATTTATACATTAAATTATAATCTTGATTTTATTGTATTCTTTCGACTATTGACTAAACCATGTTGAACCATTAACTATTAAATCAAATTGAGGCCAGACCTGTTCCTACCTAGCATGCCAGTAGAATTGGTAGTGGGTCGGGTCATGTTAGGTCCATATTGTGTCTAAGTTACATAGTTTAAATCGTATTCATCTCATTTTATAATCATGTGTAACTTCGTTTATATCACACATAATATGTCTACAACTTATTCCATTTATCTACAGTATTCCATGCTTCATGGTCTGGTTGGAATTTATCTAGGTTTTGTATTAAACATATGGAATTGCTCACTATTATTATCCACTCGTACTATTTCATAATTAGACGATCTTCAATCTGGTTTCCTCTTCATCTTCTTAACAGCCCATCTCGGTACTAAATGACATTCTGAAAACATTGTTGAGATGACGAAGAAGAAATAACAAACACCTTGTTACGCATTCATGAGGTATAAAAAAATATGGAAGGTGTTATGTTATGTTAAAAGTAATGACTCTCTCTCTCTCTCTCTAGAGACTTTAAGATGGAATAAAGTTGTCTTTTGGGGCTAAACATACTATTCAACGTTCATTTCGTATGTGGTGCTGAGGACAATACTCTCTAATGGATATGTGGAGTGACTTATTTATTTTGAGTAAAAAAAAAAAAAGTTGTCCTTCACATAAAAAGCCAAGAAAAACAATCGGCATGTTCTTTCCATTGCATTATATATCAATGCCATTGCTTTTTTTTTTTTTTCCATTGGTGATTAAGAAGACTGCATGGGTGGCTGGATATAGATCTACTTATTCGAGTTTGCATACGGGATGCAACTATTTACAAAAGAAAATGCTACTCCTATTTAATTGGATGAATTAATTCATTATAATTATTGGAGTGAATTCTCTCTGAATTTGCGAAATGGTAAAATTTAATTTTTTAAAATATACGTAATTTGTCACATAACTCTGTAAAATTTTATTTTTTAAAATATATTTTCATTAATTTTTTGTGAATAAATGTGTTTGTATGGTATATAAATTATAATATAACACTGTCAAGACACTTCTGTTTTAATTTTTTTTTGAACTTAATCGCTTTTGCTCTCCAACTCTTGATGATTCGGAGTGAACTAGAGTAGAGCACAGTCCATGGGCCATCCAGTTAGACTAACGGGTCACCGGGCAATGAATCAACCAAGTAGCCCATGGACCCATTTGACCCGATGGACTGGCCCATTTGTGGCCCATAAAATCCAACAAAATGGTTAATAATAAGGTCAAATTTAAAATGGTCTAAGACTTGATAAACCATTCGTGTATCTTAGAGAAGCTAAGAAATGGAAATAACATGATCAAGCCTTGTCAATGTGAAAGTATACAGCAGGAGCAGGGCATTAATCTCATTAAGTGGAAAATTACATGCTTTACATACGAAAGTGCTTAAATCACTTTTGGACAACAAATCAGCAACATCAGACATAACACTTCGAAGATAATGAAGCAACTATACGACATTGTGGACACACCAGTAGTAATCGAACATCATCTTGTCTGTCGTCTAAAGCAGTGCAAGAAGAACTTTTCAGGTTTCTTTTTCATAAATTTGTCAAGTCAATGTAAACTGTTCACTTCAATTCCTTGACAGAACACATCTTCAAGATCTTTCAAAACTCGGAAGCAATGATGGAAGCTCGTTGTCCCAAGAAAAGCGTCGCTTAAGCAGCCGTTCTTGGTTTCATGCCAAATCCATGCTTTAACTTCTCAACCCTGTTCAAAAGTTCGAGTTAGTCATGCTTGGAATCATTCCACAAATAAGTAATATCGTGTTTTGGCTATCATATGCGCAAGTTCTTCTGCTTTCTGAGCAATCTTAGATCCACATAAATGCAAATAGAAATAATTTAAGGCTAAATCACAGCAATATTTTTGTTATGAAAATATCAGGGCCATGACAGCAGTTGGCTACAAGGCACCTCAGTTGACACAGCAGTTTAAAACATGGAAATAAGATCAAGTATTTAATAAACAACCACAAATACTAGTATGCATGGGGATTTTCTGAATTCAAATAGAAGGCATAAGGGTTTTTTTTTATGTGGGTGTGTTGGGGGGGGGGGGTGTTAGGGGTTTTCTTATGTTTGCTAATCTTTAGAGTGGAACTAGAACGTAAATGGCAATTTTGTAAACAGCAAGTTGAAATGATACTAGAATGTAAATGGCAGGAGCATGGCTTTAGGTCACAGCAGCAAGTTAAAGGCATCTTAGTAGTTTCTATTTCTGCAACAAATATTGTTAACCTGTTGACAGAATGTCAACAAATTGTCCAGTGATTCTCATCCATCCGAGGGCCCTGCTAGTGAGATATATCTAAGCCCAAGGGCACTCCCATTTTTCACTTTGAAAGGTAAAATTTTTACTGGCTGAAACTCAATCCGGTGGCTCAAGTCACATGTTATTTGAAGGATCTGACATGATGCTGGAAAAGTATTCAACTGCTCCAATTGCGTATGCTTTTATTAAATAGCATACTAAAAGGCATTCGAGTGACCATTAGACGCGGGAAATCGATAGGAAGCAGAAATGAATAGAACTAATTCAGGCAGCTAAAGTTTCAATAACCAATGGAAGCATCATTCAGATAACCGAGGCTTACGTTGGAGCGAGTTTGCCAAGACTTTCAAGCTCTTCACCAGAGTCCTCATCCAGGACTCTCCCAGATATCTCAACAATGTAAGATCTATCTCCATCAGTTGGGAGCCCTCTACTTCCAAGCAAATTCAAATCTTTGGGTGAAGCTCTCTCCCATTCACAAAAACACCGGTGGTTCCACCAGCACAATTTTCTGGCATGGGATAATTAAATTCTTCAATAAATGGCTGCAACAAAATATTATTTTTTCTGGTTAGCATCACTGGTTGCACAAGTTATCACTATAGACGAGCATTTGTATGTCTCCACGAATTTAGTTAATCTTACAGGAATAATGCCAAGACAAGGCCCACCCATAACACCCCAGAATCCAGCTCGGGAATCATACCTGGAAAGGCATATTGAGAAAGGAAAAACCATTAGTACTTAAAAAGTGAACACACAATTCTGCATCAAGTACAACCGTGAGATGCAGCAAACAATCTGTAACATACCTATTTTAACTTAAAAACAAGCTTCTTGTTTATATGTGCTAGAGTTCATTAGAAAGCCAACCAAGCAGAAACAGTCAATCAGAATGAGATCAAGTCGTATGAAATGAATCTACTTCAATCATTCGGGGATTTCTACAATTTGAGCTTAATTGATTTGCACCTCCATATGGCCCTATTTTGTTTAAAACCCCAACATATGATGAAATAAAATAAGTTCATTATACTAATTCTTTAGATGTGGCTGTCCCATTTCCAAATAAGGCAACAGTTTTGTTTTATATATGATATGATGGTATTTAAGCCTAGGAATTAAATACCATGCTAAAATTGTAAACCTATAACAGATTAAGTCAACAAACAGGCATTATCAATATGTTACTTCTTCAGTCTAATAACCTATTTGAATTTTGGAAAGTCATTGAATTGTCTAATAAAAACCTGTCATGGGACTGGATTGGCTTCGTAACCAAATCCTTTGTACACCTATCTACTGGAGGAGCAAGCAGTAGTGAAGTTACCCCATGTTTCCTCTAATGGGTCTAGAAATCATTGCATGGCAAAACCATAGTTGATACCCAACGCATACAACTAAGGTATGCAGGTTTGTAGTACGACTAATACTCATATGATACATAAATCTCAAGCGTGCAAATTTACACACAAAAGAAAATGAATATGAACGGTCTGGATGGTTCTATCTGCATGTACTTACCAGTATTGTCCAGGATGGATTTGTCCAGCTAACTTTTCAGCCTTCTTAATCAACCGCTCTGGTATAGGATGCCCATTCACTGTAACATTGGTACTGTCCTCCTCATCAGTTTGACTAGATTTAGAAGAGTCCCTGAAGCCCTTCTTGATAATGCCGCCAAAGAATGATTCAGCTCTTTTGTTGGCTCTCAGTTGACCTTCTCCTCTACTCACTTCACTTGAATCTTGAGATGTCCCAGTATTGGAGTACTCATTGGATGATATATCAATCTCAGTTGCGAGTGATGAATCTTTCATAGAATTTTGCCATGAAACAACCCTCTTTGGCATCTCTTTCTCCTGTTCAGAGCGTCCACTCACATTTCCCTTTCCAGATCGATGGTATTTAGTAGAGTAGTCAAAATGATCTTGAAGGGGTGAACCAGCAGCTGGTGGTGACGCATCAACTTTAATTGGCAGCTCAGCAGAGATGGCATTTTTTCTTGCAGCAGTCAAACTCTCTGGATCGTCCTCATCGTCAGAAGTACAGGAAGGTGTAGCTAGAAGGCTCTTCATTTCTGCAGACTTGTTTGAGTTAAAACCCTGAGCTGTCGATGATGAAACCAGTTCTCTATCCATTGACTGATAATCACAACCGGAATTATCATAATCCTCGGATGAAAAGTTCATGCTAGCCCCAGTTAGATGGCCATGGTTATGTGAATTACCATCTTTCTTCACTACATTAGAGCTATTATCAACCTCTGCGAAAGTTTTCTTTGCTTCTCCAGCAACAGAAACAAGAAGTCGCTTGTTGGTAACTTCATAAAGGATGACCGTAGAGCATGCCCCACATCTCATCTCCTTTTGAATTTTTCCCATGAGCAAAACTTTCTTAGGCATTTCCAGCAATTCAAAACAATTGCAACATGCCACAAATGGAGCAGCACCAGCTATGGGGCGGCAATGCCGCACACCAGGGGCCGCCACTACCCTTGGAGGACGGCGATGAACAAATCCACCCACTTCAGAATTAACATCACTGGACCATCTTGTATGGAATTGTGGATTAGGATTATTAAATGGAGGAGGATTGGAAATTTTACTATTACAATGTTGTGGACCAAATGCACCAAGGTGTTCATGATGAGAGAACATCGGGTCGTTCGGGACAGTTGAAACCCTTTTGTCATAGAAGCCAGTAGTTCTAACAGGTGGAGGAACTTGGTGGTATTTGTTGTAGCAATGGAAACAGGAGCAAGATGGATGATGAGGGTTCATATCAGGTGGGTATGTTTCATATGGATCCTTCTGGACCATATCATTGTCCATATAGAGCCCGGAATAGTATGGGTGAGGTGGCTGCTGTTGGAAAGGACCTGGTGCTTGGAGGGGTACTCTCCTTGGCATATGGGATCTAAAAGGATCGCCAAATCCTTGACTTTGATATGATCTATGAATTGGAGGGTAAAAATTATGCATAAGCATTTCCTGCTTACTTGAAAAAGGAGATGGTTCTGCATAAGGACTAATATAAGGAGGTCTTGCAACATGTTTATCAGCTGCAGGATATTGCATTGAAGCTCTTTTCAACCCCAAAGAGACATCAGGAATCCAGTACTCAGAACCACTATAAGGATCCTGATGAACTATCCTCCTGTCTGGAGGAACCTTTTCTTGGGGTTTGTCGGCTACATTACAAGACCTACTAATTTGATCCTTCAGCTCATCAATTCTCTTCAAAAGCTCTGCTCGATCTTGTTCATAATACTCCACCTTATTAAACCCACTTGAGTCATTCCTATTCTTCTCTGGCTCATCGTAACCATAACTGGACCCTAACTGTAACTGGTAATTCGAAGGACTCTCTTCAGGGTACTTTGAAGATGAATATCTCACATCCTCTACATCAAACCTTTCGGTCCTCCTCATCCCCTCCATCTCACCTCTCTCCCCAAATCTCCAATCTGACATTCGCCTTCCTGACCCAGTTGCATTTCCCTGTTGCAGTCTCAAGTTCTCAAATTCTTTTGACATCTTTGCATGACCGAATTCATCAATATTCTTATTGATCTCCAGATCATTTTCAACACCCCACTTATCAGCTCTTATCACCGAATCTTTCCTCTTCTCAGATCTACTAGAACTACCATTCGACTTACAATCATTCTCAGACCCATCACTGAAAACCTCCCGCCTCACCATTCGTTTATCCAATAAGACAAAATTCTCCGATTTCTCAGAAAATTTCTCTGAAACCCCTCTTATCCTTTCTTCATCAGACTTCTCTGAGAATGAATCTGCCTCAACAGTATTATTCTTCGCTGCAAATTAAAGAAAAAGGAAATTTCCTATTTTACAACATTGCACATATGCGAAAGAAAATAAAGAAAGTGGAGGAAAATAAAAGGAAGTATAACATCTTAATTTCAAGTTCTTAACTTTTTCCCAGTATTTAGGACCCAACAAAACAAGAAAACTATACGCAAAATCAACAAGAACAAAACATTTAGTTATGACTGCAATTTTTCCGATCTATTAGTAAGTATTCCTGGGAACCAAACAGAAAATAACAAAGAGAGAATTGAAGAAAGCGTACCTCGAAGAACAGCACCACAAGCACCACACTGATAAACAGAGTAATCAGTGACCTCTGGTAGTAGGTTTTCGCACTTTGGGCAACGAACCAGACGAACGTTCGCTGGTTCAGACATTGTTGTAGATGAACTTCAAAACAAAAGCTTATTCAAACCCAAAATATAAACGATATATCATTCCAAGAAATCGAAATATATGAACGGTTCTGCTTTAATTTCACTCAGAAATCTAACAGAAACATAGACGCCGTCCAAACAATACCGAAAGAAGAAAAAATCTCTTGCTTCGAAAAAGTGAGTTCAGAGAAAATCAGAGAGTTTCTGAGACACACACAGCTTTTCCGAGCTGCAGACGAGAGAGAGAGAGAGAGAGAGAGAGAGAGAGAGAGAGAGAGAGAGAGTCTAATGTTTCTGCAGCATTCTTTGCCTCACAATTGTATGTGTTTTAGTTCAGATTCTTCAGAATATAGGTAAGAGGTGATAGATAGGAAAGCTATTTCGGTGGTGTTAGTGTAATCGAAGCAAAATGCTGATATAAGTCAGAAAAAATTTCAGTTACACCCCTTATAAATTATTGTAATTCTAAAACATCCTTTACATTATCTAAAATAACACTATGTCCCATTTCAGTTAATTTGTCTATTTCATATCACCCCTATGATTCTTTCGTACCTACAATCGTAAGCCACCACGACGTACCAAAAATTCACACTACCACCAAGCACGCATGCATAAGTTTAGACACACAGTCCTTTATATGAACCACACCACCACCACCACCAACGCTTCACACACCATAAAATATTTTTTCTTTTTCCTTTTTGTCTATGTGTGGGTGAGAGAGAGAGAGAGAGAATTCAAGAAAAGAAATACAATATCTTTAACTGTAAATCCATCTCAATTCAATTAGTCCTCTAAAGGTCACAAGGTCGAACTCAAAGCACACGATTTTTACCTATACCAATCGAGGTGGTAGTTGCAACGCGAGATTGCGAAGAAGACGTGATAGTAAGGAGCTGGGGGTAAGGGTTGGAGATGGTGATCATTGTTGGGAGTAGAATATTACTAATAAAAATATCTTAACAAGAAAAATTTTTAATTTATTATTTTGTTCTTATAAAAAATTATAAAGGCTAGCGTGCCTTTTTGTATTTAAATATTCAAATTACTTTTATATTCATTTATACGTAAATAACAAACTAACCTCGAGCATATGATCTATCTTTACAAAATTTTAGATAGTCATGTTACTCTTAATAGGATATATAAAAATATTATTCTTTTTTTGTCCAAAGCTCAATTATTAATACATATCGACTATTTTATTGATACAATATCATCTTTGGTGCTAACAAATTAATATATATATTTTTTTCTTTACATCCAAAATATAAACAATTTAAGTATGATAAACATAAGATAAAATATAATTTAACTATATAATTATTTTTATACATTTTATCAAATATTTTAATGAAAACATTCGCGTGGTACATTACTAGTCATATAAAAAACATCAAGTCTATCCATCATTAATATTGCAAACCGTAAGGGGGTATCAGTGTAATTTGCCCTAGAATTAACGAAGTTGTACTCTTCTGCACAACGTGGTCACATGCTCTTGCTCCGTAATGAGATGGATGAAACAACACTCACAATGAATGAATTGAATTTTCCAAGTCAAACTAGGGGCCTAGTCATTTAATATTTTCAATTTTTTCTTTTTTTGGAGGGGCCGAGGCCTAATATTAAATAAGTTTAGCCACATGACCAATTACAACTTCTAAGCAAACCGTGACCATGAAATAGTCCAAGACAAATTCGAGAACAAAATCGATAGATTCAGATGATAGAAGGTAATGATCAGAATGCAACGACTAATTCAGACATGATGATATAGGATAATTTGAACACCCTACAAGTCACCGACGAATATTAAAATTGTAAACATTTTTTTTCTTAATTTTGTAAAACGTTTTACACGAAAATTTCTCTTAAGTTTGAATCCCACCCTAGTTACATGTAATATTGCTCTTTATGCTCATAAATTCATAGAACAAAATGGAAGACCAAGGGTGAGATCTATTGGATAATAAAAATGAAAAATCTAGGCAAAGTAACAAACTTGCTTGTAGCATTCTTTTTGTTAATCAAAAATTATAATAAGAGAAGACAACGAGGTTCAAATTGACAAGTAAGAGCAAATCATGAAGTGAATTCCACAATCACCTTTTAGGGTTAATTACAAAATGCCTCTTCAAAATTCCACAATCTCTTAAGCATTTCACCTTTTAGGGTTTTACTTGTCGGCGGGTTCTGGTGATTTCTTGGGGATATTAGGGTTGTTGGTTACAAGTGGGTGAATGGGTTTGCTAAAGAGGTTTTTTTTTTTTGGGAATAGTGTTGAAGAGGGGTTGGGGGTTGGGAAAAAATATAAATAATGCTAGACAATTTAAATAGAATTTAAAAATTATAATTTAAATACGCATCATCTGTTAAAGGTGAGTTGAATATAACCGTTACACTGACAGAGGATTGGATATAACTGTTACACCACATCAGTAATTTAATTATCCGGGGTTAAATGACCAACTTCTCTTAACTATTAATGGTTAGATTAACGGATTTGGAGTAATTGATCTAATATTCAAACTTGAAGGGAATAAATTGTTTAAATTGAAATTAAAGAGATCTAATTACAACATGAGCCAAACTTTGAGAAGATATTTTATAATTAACCCAATTTTGTTTTTTCATTGACCTTATGAGCTTATTTTTCCAGTGAGACAAAAAAAAAAAAAAAAAGCATAGTCTTGACCATATGTTAAAAGATGAGAGCGCGTAAGGTCAAATGTCATTTTAGAAGATTACCGTGTTATATTTAATTCCTATTCCTTCACTACCAAACACTCCTAATCAATCAGCTGGACCCGACTCTTGTGTCTCCTGTTACTTGTGTCACTTTTGCTCTGGCCCACCACAGCACCCCCTCCTGGAATATGTCAAAAAAGGCAAAAAAAAAAAAAAAAAACTTTGGATCTCATGAATATTTTTTTTTTCAAATTTTAGAATAAACGTATTATGTGTGAGACTCAAAGAGTAATCCCAAAGAAAATAATAATAGAGACGAACTGTAAATTTAAATATTTTGAGTTCAAATTTTGATAATTTATTAGGACCAAGTCATGAGTGATTTATTCATCATAAATTTTCTAGTCTCAGCATAAATGACTTATTTTTTTATTAGACTAGAAAATAGACTAATCGAGGTGCGCACAAGCTGATCTAGACACCTTTGATCATTAAACCAAAAAAAAATAAAAAATACTACCACACAATCCAATTGATGAAACCCAAAAATTCTAACCAAAAATTGTTCTCTTGTTTATTCTATTTACTTGCGCTCAAGATAAACAAATTTTAAGATAAAATTAATCAAATCTCGTGATTATATTCTCGACTCAAATACATTCTGAAACTGACATTATTACCTCTTACCAGTTTTCTTTTTTCCATTTCAATTTTTTCAGCCATGGTAGGTGGGTAAGACCCCCAGCTTTGTCAATGATGTTGCCTGATTGAACTTCTGGATTATAGACACATGATGGTAATGCTTAAGGCTGCTATTGTCATTGGTTTGCTGACTGCTTCCTCCTTTCTTTTTTTAATGGATGATTTTTGCTTTTGCTTTGCTCATCTTGAAACTCAGATAAAGTTCTGTTTTGTATATTTTTTGTTCAATCTTTTGAATTTGTATTTCTTGTATTTTTTGCTATTGGGATGGTTGATCTTCTTATCCCCTATTCAGAATATCAGTCATCTCATAGTATCACCCGTACATTTTCTTTGGTTTTAATGATTTCATCTTACTTACCAAAAAAAAAAAAAATTCTTTCAAATTCGTTGGATTAGTTGCGTATTTTGTGGTCGAAACAGATCTAAATTTCTTGGCGTAATTGGGAACTTTTCAAAGAGAAAGAAAAGGGTTTTGATGGAGTCTATCATTGCTCATCTCAGCCACGAATAGAAGGTATTCCTAGTGAATGTTCATACAAGTTCAAAGCACACTCTTAATCTCTCTTTCTGTAAACATTTGGATTGAAAATTTTAAATTGATATTCTCTGTTCTAGTTTAAAGATATGATATTATAACGTCAATTACAACAATATCGTTTCAACTGTGGAAGATCATAATCATGAGTAATTCAAAATTTTCATAAATCTAAAAGCACATGTGACGTATCAATAAAATTAAGAAAGTTGATGAAATTAGGCTCTACAATCTTCTTTTTTTTATTGTGACGACTATGAAAAAGAACATACAATGGAGATTGTACCCCATTCAAGATAAGAAAATTAACAAGAAAGATAAATAAAAGAAACGTAGTAGGAAACACTCAAAATGAAAAGGAGTTAGTCGCCTTAAAATATCATTGGCTTGGTGATATGGGTTATCTAGAATGAAAACGTGATTTTTCCCCTTTCTTCAAGCGTAATGCAATTGAAAAAAATTAAGTGACGGTAAATTATGTAATTTTGATTATAATGTCAAACTACTTGGTAGTTTCATCTTTAATCCTAACTAGAAAATACATGTTAGTCCATTAGTGCATATGTGGATTATGAACTACAAACTAGGCCTAGAGATAAATGTTTTATCGCTCGAACATGCCACCGAAAAGATACAAAGATGAAATATTTTTCTTTGGTTGAAATACCAAACTTCTTTTTTATTGTATTTACAACTTGAATCCTATTTTTCTTCAAAAAAATGCATATTTTTTTTTTTTTCAGATCAAGACTTTTGTCTAGGAATGATTAATCTCATAGTAGACGAATCTTCTAAATAAGGGGCAAAATGAAGAATCCTAATTTTGTAATCATTTTATAATTACAAGGTCAAAATTTCTAGAAAGTCAACCTCAAAGAATGTCAATTTTGATCCTCTTGTCGGCTGTGATATTTTTTTGGATCTCAAGTATGGTTGGGGAACTAGTCAACATTTATTAAAAAAAAAATGGTATCTTGTGGTTGTAGGGTCACTCTCTTATTACATTTCATTCTTATCAGCTGGCATAGTTAATTATTTTTCAACTACTATGAAATTACATATATTA